CTACTCCACTTAGCCCACAGCTCGGCTCACCTTCACCCAGTCCTAGCTCGGCCCAGATTTACGCTTTTTACCCTCTCAATTGCCCCTTAATGCCATTTGCAACGCATGATTGGGATTACTTTTCTTTAGCCGAACTAAAAATATTCAAGCCAACCGAGCTTACTTTCCACCAGACTACTGAAGAGTTCGGTCCATAAACATCTTTTCAACTGCTCTGTACATCTGAACCGTTTTCTATTCTATTGGACACGTGGCCGACTCCCATTGGTCAAGCACAGCTGTCACAGCCATCTTTGTACTTCGCGTATTTTGAACAGTCCCGCCCATTTTTACGCGCTTTAAACAAAAGACCCCATATTTCAAACCAAAACACTACCACTGTTCATCTTCCTTCCTTCGTCCTCTGAGAACCTGTGCATTCGAAGCTCCATACCTACTCCTTCATCTTCGTTAGCCACTGTTTCTTCACGACTTTGCATCCATAAGTTTACTAACACCTCTTTATGCTTGTTCTTTTTAACTATTTCTTCATTTTTGATATTCAATCTTCATATATATATATATATATATACACTAGACACGCACCATAGTACTGAGCAAAATGCAACAAACCCCAAACCTTAGGCTTGAGCTTAAGAGCACACCGTCTAGATTCAGAGAACATGAGGCTGAATCTAGAATCGTGCTGTAATCGGGCTATATACCTGTTTGGGCAATTTTAGGTTTAAACCCAACCGAATTGAAAGCTTAGTAACCAAGACGTATGCCCATTTTCAACCGGGCTAAGAGCCTTAGACTGGTCCTTATTCATGACCGAACTAACATAACCCTGCAAATCAGCCTCTAACCGAGCTAGAGGCCTTGTGTTGACCCTTCTACACTACCAAATTGAACTGTCATTTAGACGAACCGAGCTAAGCCTTCACAATTTCTTCTGTAAATTGACTTTTTACTTAGTCCGGTCCAATTATCTGGGCATAGCACTTCTTATTTCCACTTTGCAGACTTGACTAGGTTGGCCAGGCATACCTTTGCACGCTCAACCGAGCTACTCAACGCCATCTCGACACTAAGCTACGCCACGTCATTAATTTATAAACAATTTAAGTTAAATGGGTAAATACCGGTTCTTAGTCAACTCACTGGAGGCTATTGTCGAGTTCCGCAGGGACTACAATATACCTAACGATGTTCATCTTTCTCTGGCCGAGCTAGATACTACGCCCTGGGGTAAACCGGGCTTCGTTCCTTTCACTGTTATATCTATTGTTGAGGTCGGTCTCCGTTTTCCTGTTCAGCCTCTCCTTTGTGAATTCCTTAGGCAAACTAGACTTTGCCCCACCCAGCTTTCCATAAATTCATATAGAATAATAAATGGCATCGCCGAGCGAAACTGCCAGCTTGGCCTTAACCTCGGTTTGGCTGAGCTATTCCATCAATACTCGCTCGGCCAGAACGAGGATGGTTGGGTGTATTATTTAAGAATAAGAAGACGCCGAAAGAAAATAATTAAAAATACACCGGACAAAGACGTCAATGATGATGACTTCTTCTAGGTTTCTGGCAACTTCAAAGACTAGGAAGCCTAAATACTGGGCTACGGTATTAACTGGAATAAAGGAGCAGCCTGTATGAATACCACGACTTAGCTTGTGCGTTCTTTGCTGTTATTGTTTATAAGTTTTTCACCGTGCACCGTTGCCTTTTTCCTTATGCAGATTTGGACCAGCTAAAGTCGCAGTACCAATACCCCAATTTAGACGCACTCCGTGCCACGCTTCAGTACCGCGATTGAGGTTGGGTCGAGTTACTAAATTTTGAACCAACATACCGATACAATGGTAGGAGGAAGACCAGGGTAACTGACTTCCTCCTAGAACCATCACCAGAACCGGATCCAAACTTGCCATAGATTAACCTTATACCTGTAACTGAAGAACAAGAGATGGCCAAGCGCCGAGCTATAAGGGCACTGATCACCGAAACAACGAGTAACACCGGCGAGGCACAGACCGAGACAACACAAGCTGGCCAAACAAGCGAGGCTGTGGTGGCCCTCCCAACAGCCCGGGCCTCGTCATCCCGACCGAGCAAGCGTGCTCGCACATCCTCAACCGAGCCACAACACCTCATTGATGAAGACGACACCGTTCTCCCTCAAACCTTGCCACGGAGCCCAGAACCCGTGCGTTCTGACCAAGCTAGCTCTTCTGAGTGGGCCCCAAATATAATATATAAGAACCGAGCCATAAAGAACACAGACTCAGTAGTGGCAAACAAAGACCATAAGCTCACTTTTAACCTGGCTAAGAGCATGTGTTTGCCTTCTGACATGGAGCATCATGACCATTTGACCGAGCTCAAGGCCATCCGGTCAGTGACAAAGTCAATGGTGCTGGTAAGTGCTCCTTTTAACTATCTTGCATTTTCCATCATCTGTTTGCTCGATTTTTGTTAATAATTGTTGCCCCTCCTGTAGGCCATGCAGAAGAACCACATCGCTCATAAGCGCGTGCTGGAGCTGCGTAAGATAGCGCGGCTTGCTGTAGCAGACGCCAATGCTAAAACGGTCGAGTTGAATGAAGCCAAGCAAAAAACCGCCGAGCTTGAATCTAACAATGCCCCACTTACCGAACTAGTTAGCGCGGTGGAAGCGGATAAACAGAAAGCTTTGGCCGAGCTGAAAGACCACTATTTGCGTGAACTGACCAAGCTTGAAAAGAAAAAAGATGCCAAGATTGCCGAACTAAAAAAGAGCGCGGACGATGCTGAAGACCGCGGCTACAGAGAAGGAGAAGCCACCTACATCCTGCAATGTGAAGCTGCCAAGGACATATTTTTCAAATGCGGATGGAAGGCAGCCGTGTCAAAGCTCGGTTATGGCCAAGAAACCGAGGTCTTTCAGAACCCTCCTCCTCACTTCATTCCGAGTTATATGGCGGACTATGCCAATGCCATTCAGCAAAAACTTCTTCAAGTAGGGGAGGAAGAGAAGGCATCTCTAGAGCCCAACAACACCCCGGCTGCTACCATTGATCTCGGTCTCCAAACTGCCCAGTCAGCTCGGGTGGAACCATCGGTGCCCATTACGAATGAAGATGTGGCTGTGACCAACCTTCCTGCTGGAACCAGGCTACCGAGTGGTGAAGCTCGGGTTGTTTTGGATGCAGATCTGGATGATCTTTTTGCCTAATCTTGTATTTTCTTCTTTAAATGTTAACTTTTTGTAAGAATTTGTAACCGGACTGATGCCCCACCTCTTTGTAATGCAGTTCCAATCTTAAATGAAATATGTTCTTCTTTTTTCCCGGTTCATATCCTACTTGTGTTTGTCTCAACTTTAATTGAAATGTCTGGAACTTTTTTAGCTGAGATAGCCATCTCGATTTAGCTAGATAATCTGTGTTAGCCAACCTTCTCCAGTCTTGATCTTTTATCTCAGCTGAGGTGAGTTAAATTTTGTTATTCCTGCCGACTTCTTCAGCCTAGATCCTTATATCAGCTGAAGAGGGATAAATGTTGGTTATTCCTGCCAACCTCTTCATCCTAGATCCTTATCTCGGCTGAAGAGAGATAAATGTTGGTTATTCCTGCCAACCTCTTCAGCCTAGATCCTTATCTCGACTGAAGAGAGATAAATGTTGGTTATTCCTGCCAACCTCTTCAGCCTAGATCCTTATCTCGGCTGAAGAGAAATAAATGTTGGTTATTCCTGTCAACTTCTTCAGCCTAGATCCTTATATCGGCTGAAGAGGGATAAATGTTGGTTATTCCTGCCAATCTCTTCAGCCTAAATCCTTATCTCGGCTGAAGAGAGATAAATGTTGGTTATTCCTGCCAACCTCTTCAGCCTAGATCCTTATCTCGGCTGAGGAGAATAAATGTTGGTTATTCCTGCTAGCCTCTTTAGCCCAGATCCTGATCTCGGCTGAAGAGAGATAAATGTTAGTTTTTCCTGCCAACCTCTTCAGTCTAGATCCTGATCTCGGCTGAAGAGAGATAAATATTGGTTTTTCCTGCCAACCTCTTCAACCTAGATCCTAATCTCAGCTGAAGAGAGATAAATGTTGGTTTTTCCTGCCAACCTCTCCAGCCTAGATCCTTATCTCGGCTGAAGAGAGCTCAATGTTGGTTATTCCGGCTAACATTCTTCAGCCTAGATCCTTATCTCTGCTGAAGAGAGCTAACAGTTTGGCTAAACCAGCCAATCTTCTTCAGCCAGATCCTGATCTCGGCTGAAGAGAGATAAATGTTAGTTTTTCCTGCCAACCTCTTCAGTCTAGATCCTGATCTCGGCTGAAGAGAGATAAATATTGGTTTTTCCTGCCAACCTCTTCAACCTAGATCCTAATCTCAGCTGAAGAGAGATAAATGTTGGTTTTTCCTGCCAACCTCTCCAGCCTAGATCCTTATCTCGGCTGAAGAGAGCTCAATGTTGGTTATTCCTGCCAACCTTCTTCA